TCTGTTCATCTAGTTCATCTAACCTAAACTGACAATGAATAATTATGTACATAAATGTTCCGAAAATTTGTCTTTTATCTACTTTTGAGTAACACTGTTTATTCTGTATAGTATTAGATAATAAAAATAATTGACCATTAATCAAAGAAGAAGAAGAACCACTTATCAAAGAAGTTTCTAGTACATATAATTTACGTGTTCACATTGTATCTATTAGGTACATTAAAAGGCCATTTCGTCTACAGCTTAGCATTCCAAGCGAAGCGTGTCCGCTTGAAATATGTCTCAGAGTTTCCAATGATACCGAATCACGTATTCACATGCGAAAATCATATGGAACCGACCGGTTTTGAAGAGCTCATCAGATTTCTACTCACGTAGCTCCAGTAGGTCCAAGTGTAGCAATACAGCAACCTCTGTAGGATTAACCAGAACCATAAGCCGGTAATTCCGACGACCCAGCCGACCATGACCTTCAAGTAATTTTCATTACTATTGTATACACATTACTAATATATATAAAAAGGTAAGTTACAGTCAAATTTATTTTAGATATAAAAAGTTAAGTCACAATCAGATTTATTGTAGATATAAATAGTTAGACCACATTCAAATTTATTTTAAATATAAATATCATTGAATATGTTAACACATGAGATATTGCTATTTTTATTTTATTTATGCTCTTTATGTGGCAGTGTAAAAAAACAAAGAAAAAGAAACCCCTGAACTGAATAATATAAATTAACTGAGCCTGCAACCTATGGAAATTGGACTTACAACACTCTCATAATCAATGGCTACGCAATGTCTTTCATTAGCCAATCTTAAATTGAACAAAGCATCATTTTTTAAGATATTAAATTCAGCACAAATTACGTGATATCTCATTTTTTTAAAAAATGGACTTACACCACTTTCAAAATAAACGGTCCATTTCAAACGTCAACGAACCAGTACGAGTATAACCCTCTTTCGCATGTCTTTGATCACAGTACCTGAAGAGCTCTATAAACTGTCCAGCTCAGCACTTGGACCAAGCTGTTGAAGGACGGTGGATTTCTCCATAGAGCGATCGCCAATGCCGCGACGATCAAGAAGGACGGCAGGGTGTGCACGAAGTCCGGTCCAACGGTGGTTTTCGCGTACTCCTGAAAGACTTTGTGCTGAAGCAGGAGTATCTCCTGCGGGACGGAGAGCAAGGTCACTGATTGAGAGTAAAGGGCATTCAAGCAGGACATCACTGTTAAGGCCGACTGGCAGCCTGGTCTTCCGCAGATTTATTCACGTCAGCGACGAACGTTGCCGCAATGATGGTTATAGTTAGAGGCGGTTGAAACGTGACGTTGCAGACGAAATGAACCGCGACACCAACGCTCCTCTGTTTCCGAAACTTTGGACACATTGTCCTGTCGTTTCTTTCGCAACTTGACGATAATGCGTGGAATGACGCGTGCTTGACGCATTGCCAGCCGCTGTGACGCTCGCGTGACTTCTCTTTGCCAGCCGTTATCGGCCGCTGTCGCGTACGCGTGATTTTTCTTAATGCTTTCTTTAACACTAGATTTACGGAACCCGTCACTTTGACGGATATCGAATTTTTGACACATTATTTAGTAATAGTTTGAGTCGATCTTGATTTGTGCAATGTGCTTGAATACGCATTGCAATACTCTGGCTTTCAAGCTGCAATTCTCGCGATTTATATAAACGAACATGTAGTTCTCTAGGAACAATAGAATAAAGTATAGAATAAATGTCCGTAAATCTAGTGTTAATAATAATTATATTGCAACTATGTTGCGAACAGTTGCGTAAATATTGGTGAGTAGAACCTGCGCGAATCTCGCCGGCAGCGGCGTAATGGCCGGTCGAGAAACGAGCGGCCGGCGAAGTGTTAACACGTTGCATGCGGGAAACGTAAAAGTACTATTTTCATGTAACGCAGTACTGAAGTACTAAATACTTGTTCGTGCACGCTGTCCAGGCAATGTTACTGGAGGTTGCGTAACACTTTCACACGAATTAACTTTGTGTGGAACAGTTGGGATGAAAAGAAGCCTCCTCCTTTTCTCGGTCGAAAGTGGACTGTATTTTCTGATTGACAATGAGTGAAAGGAGTGTGCATGTGTGTGTTTGTCCAGTGAGTACAGCGTGATTTGTAATTAACTTATGTTGACTACATGTCTGTCTGCCTTGTCGTGAGTCTGTAACTCTATATATAGGGTGGAAATTATAGAGCGTTACAGTTATACGCAAAAATGTTTCAAATGAACTTTTATTTTTCCTGGTGGACACTCCAAGGTGAGGTGAAGGTATACTTTCTTTTTTCAAATGGAATGACACGTTTTCTTATCCATTGTCGAATAGTGCGTTTCAAGGTGAATTCAACGACATATGACAACTCAAGGTCATTGAAGGTCAAACTCGCAGGGAAATGGAGAAAAGGTGTGATCGTTTTATTTGTACTTGACACCAGATGGTAAAATGCAGCTATCGATAAAACGCTTCCAAACGTTAATTAAAGGTCGAGGGTAGATAACAGGAGAGTAAATTTGAATTTATATTCAAGGAAAATAGATGACACTTGGGTTTATCGAATTCAGTTTGAAAGTTTGATAGGATATTATTGGAGAAGGGGTTGAAGTAAATAATATATTGTAATATATTCATTTATTTTCTTAATTGAAGCTATTGCTACGTGTTGAAGGTATTGGAGAGATCATTTTTTGTTACAGAGAGTATTTTGTAAAAATGATAATTAATGTCAAGATTGTTACTTGTTTGAATAATGCTGAAGAAAAAAGAGAGGAATGAGTATTTGGGAGAAAATAGGTTGCAAGGTATAATTATAATAACATAATTGCAAGAGACGTTGAATATAATTAATACAAAACAATTAAGGGAGAACAAAATTAGGATCGTTTTGGTTTACAGAATCGAATAAATATTCCAATGTATCCATTTCAACGAATACTTCGTTTATTTATGTTTCAAACAATTTTTAAACGAAAAATGTGCCTATGTAGTTTTTATTACAAAATTAATAAATGAAGAGCGAGAAACTGTGATATGCAGCTGATTTATTAGAAAAAATAAGCAAGTAGTTAGTAATGAAATTAAGTCTTTGCCAATGCGTATATACTTTCAGTCTCCATGTGTCTATTTACAATTATATACAGACGATTCTTAAGTGGCTAACAGTCTATATAAGGAAGTAGTCCGGCCCGACGAAAGATCCGCATTTCGGGAAGTCGTCGGGGGCAGCTACCATATCGCTCGTCTCTCCTACTTGAAGAACCACGTCCAATCCACGAGTCCAATCAGCTGCGTGTTCGTCTCGCAGCATCCAATAACCTGTAGTAATTGCGGAAAGTAATGATGAAACTTCAGAATTCTAGCACATTGTAGATCTGACATGAAAATAACTGAAAATAGTTCAAATGAAGGAGCCAATGCAGTTGAGTGCAGAAATCAAAAATTGAGAAAATTAATGTTTTTTAATATATTGGCTTCGGAAATTTTGTATTTATTCAGTTGATCAGAAAAGTCGATCAGAAAATAGCTAAAGTAACTCAGAAACCAATGACGTTGAGCGTAGAAAATAAAAATTGAGAAAATTAATGTTTTTTAATACATTGGCTTTGGAAATTTTTTATTTATTCAGTTGATCAGAAAAGTTGATCAGAAAATAACTAAAATAACTCAGAAGCCAATGCAGTTGAGTGTAAAAAATAAAAATTGTGAAAATTAATGGTTTTCAATACATTGATTTTGGAAATTTTTTATTTATTAATTTTATTAAAAATGTTGATCAGCAAATAGTTAAAATAACTCAAAAGCCAATGCAGTTAAATGTAGAAATTAAAAATTGAAAACCTTAAAATTTTTAAATACATTGGTTTCGGAAATATTTGGTTCATTAATTTAATCAGATAAGTATGTAAATTCTTTTATCTTGTTTCCTTGAATAACTAAACAGAATATCGTTAATTCCATTAAAGTTCACAAAAATCGGACAATATAATTATGAAACTGGTCTAAATAAAAATGAAAAAAGAAATGAGTTTATCAATTTTACCAGTTTTCTCGGTGATAATAACAATTAAAATGTCACCTGGATTATCAGCTTTGAACCTAATAGCCACAGCTCCGAATTTTGGCACGACAACCGTGTCTTTAGCTACCGCGCAGTCCAAATTTCTAGAGAACAGTTGCCCCTTCTCGTCCAAATTTTTCAGTTCTTTCAGAGACACGCTGCGTCCGAACTTCCTCGCGCCAACCACGTAGAAATTGTTTCCATGTAAATGGTACACTAAATCGTCGATGCCACCTTGGACAACAGAATAATTATTAATAAAAATTTCCAGAAATTATTCACCTCTGACTCAATATCCTTTGAAATGGAAGAAGATTAAAAAAGCTCCCGAGTTCAAAGGGTGAACGTTGCGAAATATGGTCTAAAAACGTGTCTGAAACACATGAAAACTGGAACAACAAATTTAAACGTTTCATCCGAAAAACGAGTACAGTAAACGTAGCATGTGAAAAGTGCGTTTTCGTTTTTCGTTCTCTCTGCGCGAGGAATCTGTGAATAATTAATTGTTCGTGCACTTTCACGGGCTAATTTAGAGAACAAAAGGAAAAGACGCGTACCTCGGTGAAAGGATTCATGAGGTTTATTCTGTATATAATTTATCGACTCCATAAGAGTGTAAATTAAGTATCGCTTTAAACTCCAATCAAAAGTTTATTGGGATCGAGGAGAGAGTCCATTGGAAAGCGCATAATAGGCATTTTCTAAGGATATCATATTTCAAGATCATATTACTGCTTCTCGGAAGAGTGATTCACGGAGGTGAAATACAGATCAATATTTCCAGACTCTGCGAGCAGCAGAAATATGGATCAAGGTAAATACTTTAATCAAGGCTCGCCCTTTAATGAGTTTCTGTTTCATTAGACTGTCGCAAGTAATTTCACCGAGACAATCTTTCATAGCGTTCATGTAATATGTTTAAATTGTTTAAAGCACATTTAAGATGTTGAAAAATTAGTGTCATTTAACATTTTGAATGTTAAGAAAGAAATGTGGAATATTTATATAAAAATATATATATATGTGTATTTCAACTGAGATTCAAAGTATCATTTGCCTTTAATATGAGAAAAACAGTGTAAAATGTTAACCCCTTGCACTCGACAATATTTTTCATTGAAAATATTCGTCACTTTCTGACTAAATATTAACGATATTTTTCGCAACTAAAGGAATTGAGTATCTTATGTAAATTAAGAGACAGTGGTGCACGTTAATTTTTGTAACAAAATATTTCTAAGGGACACATGGTCAAAGTATACGTTACAAAGCACCGAAAACATCAAGAAACGATATCAAAATATATAAAATTTAAAGAAAACTTGAATATAACTTAATATTTTATTTAAAAAATCAATACAGTTCATAAGCAAAATATGACCGAAATTCGTGGCATTCAACGTGTTAATGACGATGGAAATTATATTGTTCAGTAGATATTAACCCTTTGGCCTATGATTTATTTTACGACTCTGATCGATACGGCCACTTTGTCATTAATAATTTATTGGAAAAATAGAAAAATTCTTTTAAGTATAACAGTTGATTAGAAAAATAATATTTACTTTGCATTCGAATAAACTGAGTAATATATTTGTTGAATCATGTTGAAAATCTTCACCACGAGTCTCACTCGTAGGTCAAGAGGTTAATAAACGTATCGAAAATGTTATTTTCCTTTAATTAAAAAATGGACACTTCTGGTACACTTAATGTTTATATAGAGTGTCTGTCCAAGGAATGATTAAATGTAAAAATACTCTGAAATAGAATTTTGTCCCGTAAATTATTTATCCAGGAAACGAATGAATTTTGTACGTTATTGAATACGAACGTAATTGAACGCAAATAATTTACACGAAGCAAACGTATGCAAGTGCGATTGGATCATCCATTATGGTTCTTGCACATTCTCTTTAAGTGTAACCGCGCGCAGACCAGAAACAGTTGTTGCAAATTGCGTGTTTGCCGCTGCGGTAATTGGAAATCTAATTTCTCGATTCGTTTCATCACGAACGAAGCCGTACAGTGTTGCACACACGACGCGTTAGCTCCTCTGCACACAGTGACGTAATTCGAAAAGACATTCCGACACGAAGTTGCCCTGTTTTCTAAGCTTGATGTTAACTTTTTAATTCGCTTTGTTATATAAATATATTAAGCAACTTTCATATTTAATCGAGCACTTTGTTTCTATTGGTAATTTAGTAAATTATGTTTTGTATAATTGTCTTTCATTTGATAAGCATGCTTTGGGAGTATCTGGTTGTCGTGTTACAACGGGTAAAGGAAGAATATGTACTCCAGTATTTGTTATTTTTAATTTTAAACGATTTTGTGTTTCGATTATGGTTAGGTAAATTCCTCTATTGAAATGTTGAGAGATTGAAATATTGAAAGATTAAAATATTGAAAGACTGGAATTTTGAAGCATTGAAATATTGAAATATTGAAGTATCGAAGTATTGAAGTATTGAAGTATCGAAGTATCGAAGTATTGAAGTATTGAAGTATCGAAATAGTAAAATAGTAAAATAGTAATATAGTAGAATAGTAGAATAGTAGAATAGTAGAATAGTAGAATAGTAGAATAGTAGAATAGTAGAATAGTAGAATAGTAAAATATTAGAATAGTAGAATAGTAGAATACTAGAATAGTAAAATACTAGAATAGTAGAATAATAGAATACTAGAATAGTAAAATACTAGAATAGTAAAATAGTAAAATAGTAGAATATTAAAATATTAAAATATTAAAATATTAAAACATTAAAACATTAAAACATTAAAACACTAAAACATTAAACATTCTCCAAAAATTCGACATAAATAGTAACAAGAGTAATCAAACAAAAAAGTTCAAACAAAAAGCAAATGAAGCCTGGAACGTAGTTTCTAATAGAATACCAATCGAGAAAGGGAGTGAGTTATAGAGAACTAGATTACATTAAAAGTCGCAGAGGCACGCGCAGCTACAGAGCGGCTATCTTATATCATATTTTTCACTTAATTATTCTTTGGAAAGTACGTGAAAGCGTACGTAAGGGAAAGTGACGCGTTTCATTCAAATTTATTACCTTGATCGAGTAAAATCATCTCCACGGTCGCTCCGAGTGGTACACGCCTCACGTGAACGCACTCGCAGGTGTTCGCCACGTTACCAATACCGTGCCTGCACCGTTGCGACGACAACGATGCCGTTTCTTTGTTCTCGTTCTGAGCGTCACTGTTGTCTTCGAAAATGCACAGATTTTCTTCGGAGACGTAAGCACCTTGCGTCAACAGGGGCGACGACGGATACGTGAAGGTAACGTTGTTCACGTTAAGTACTCTTGTTTCAGCACCGCCGTCGCCTAAAATAAGAACGAAAAATACTTCCTTAAACACGTTCCCATTGGCTGATCGATAACGCTACGGTGGAGCTTCGGCTGATAAAAAGATCGTTCTACCGTAGATACGAAGTTCTGATATAATTCGTTACGGAACTAGAACTGTTGCAGAATTTAATCTAGGAGAATTAAAGATACACAAACGATAAAAATTATTGTGGAATTAAAACTGGTGCATTATAACTTAATCTTCGGAAATTAGAGAATACAATGACAAACTCAAACGATAAATCCTAAAAATCCAATTCCTAGTGTTGCATAAATTATTCTTAAATTTCCAAATGCTTCCTCTTTCATTTGTAATCATTCGTGGAACTAGAAATTCTGGTAAAATTAACGATAAATAACATTGTTACGTTATAACTTAGTTCCTAAGTAATATAAAATCCACGAATAATATAATTCATTACAAAAATTAGAATCGTATAATCTCTGAAAAATAGAAACCATATCTTACATGATTCTTTCTTTATTCACATAATCTTAGACATCCAATTATCGAAGCATTGCACAAAAAACGTCTAGCTACATAATAAATAAAACACACTCTATATCCAACAATAAAAACCACTAATTACCTCATTAATTACATTTTAACTATTCCAACCCCAAGTTTACCAAAATCAATATTCCATTATATTCTACTGAATATCAAAAACCCCTAATATAAATAAGCATAAATAAATTCTATATAATAAATTCAACCGAAACTGCAATGTACAAGCGAAACGAACGCGTCAGATTATCAATGCTTACATGCGGAGTAGCTGGACATTCAATTTATCGATCACTTACCGATTATATAATTCGTTTGGAGCTTGTAATTTAGAGGCAAGTGTATCGTGACATCCATCTTCGTTAACGAGAGAGGATGAGGCATTTTCCGCAACGCCTTCAAGTCCGTGACGCAGAGGCTCTCGGGATTTCCGCATTTCTCGGCAGGATTCGTCGTCACGGCGAAACGTTTCGCCGCTGTCAGTTCCTCATCGACCTGATCAACTATTTCTGATCCAGACAACGGCTCTTCGCTCGGACTGCCCTTGTACTTCAAAATGGCGGCGCCGTTTATAGAATTCGGACCGCACTCCTTCGACGTGTGCACGTTCAACCAATAAGAAGCGACGCGTTTGTTCGCCTTTAAAACAAAGTCTGCCCGTTCACCTGTAAGGAAAACATCGGTACAGTTGTTCCATAATTCTATAGTTCTATAGTTCTATAGTTCTATATTTCTATAATTCTATAGTTCTATAGTTCTATAGTTCTATAGTTCTATAGTTCTATAGTTCCATAATTCTATAGTTCTATAGTTCTATAGTTCTATAGTTCCATAATTCTATAGTTCTATAGTTCTATAGTTCTATAGTTCTATAGTTCTATATTTCCATAATTCTGTAGTTCTATAGTTCTAAAGTTCTATAGTTCTATAGTACTATACTTCTATAGTTCTACAGTTCTACAGTTCTACAGTTCTACAGTCTACAGTTCTACAGTTCTACAGTTCTACAGTTCTACAGTTCTACAGTTCTACAGTTCTATAGTTCTATAGTTCTTTGTGGAGATATTTTATGGATATTATATATTTTTGTAGAGATCAAGTGTTTTTAGATTCCTTGTGTTTCGTTTTAATTGATCATTAGAATGCAGATGTAACAAACCCATAAGGGTAGATAATAATTAGAGAACAAAAGGAACGATTAAAATGTTATTCTTTTTGTTTTAAAAGTCCCCAAAAAACTGTTGGAAATGCAATACGAAATAATGAAAAATTTATTTTCCATGTTCCATCCGTTCGTTTCGAATTGGATCCCTTCGTAGGAAATGCAGAAATTAAATGTGTAATCCTAGTAATTCAATTCAATTATTCTGTTTGATTAACGGAGATTAGGACGTCGAATTCTTGTTCGATGAATACCAATGCAATGAATTATGAAACACTCGTTATTTCTCAACGTTATGCTCGTGTTGGTTCTTGTAAACGTTGCCATTCATAATAATCGCACGAAATAAAACTAGAAATACACTTTCCCGCCTATAGTTCCTTCGAAGAGAGTAAAGCCTCTAATAAAATGGAACAGCTTCCTAACCGAAGCAAGACATTGCGAGGTAGTTAACGTGTTTTATGATGAATTTTATGAGCAGCTTAGATCTGCTCGCTGAAACAGCGAAGCCTCAGGCGTTTGACTTCGCCGCGCGTTACCGACAGGCCAACGTAATACGGATGCGTTAAGTAATATTGGGTCTCGTAAACCGAATCGAATTGATAACGAAATTAAAGGAAAAACGTGTTGAAACATTGGAAAATGTTATGCGAAGTTTTAGTTTATTAGTAAATATTCTATAGAATTTTTAGAGTTATTAGTAAATATTATATAGAATTATTAAAGTTACTATTAAATTTTATAGAAAATTATTAGAGTTATTAGTAAATTTTACAGAGAATTATTAGAGTTATTAGTAAATATTATATAGAATTATTAGTAAATTTTATAGAGAATTATTAGAATTATTAGTAAATTTTATAGAGAATTATTAGAGTTATTGGTAAATATTATAGAGAATTATTAGAATTATTAGTAAATTTTATAGAGAATTATTAGAGTTATTGGTAAATATTATATAGAATTA